TTACAAATGTCAGATGACAAACATTCAAAATATAAGATCTTCCATCTAATGTTATATAATAAGGCTACCTTAAAATATTTTGAATACAAGAATGTAGCCAAAAAGGAAAAGCTTCACACATCATCTGAAAATGATAAAGAAAAAGTATGAAGCTTTTGAGATATTAAATATTTAATTGCACACATGTATAGCCTGTCTCACTGATATGTATGCAAAATTATATAAGCAAGGTCATTCTTGGTAGTACAGCTAATTTCTTCTCAGAACTGAGCAATTCTAGTTATTACGGAGACCATAAAAGATTCAACTGATGTTGCTGACACCTTAGCAAACATGGGAGTTGTTTCCTGTTTACTCAGGGACTCCAGGTTCAAATTCTTCTGACACGCTGTCACCTCCAGTTCCATTGACACTACATCTCATTTCACCCCTTCTGACTGCCTTAAATTCCATAAGAAATCAATACAGCGCCTCCCTTGCAGGAAGGAATCCCTCTTCTCACTTACCTTCTTCCTAACTCCACCCCGTAAGCTGCACACTTATACAGCTGAATATGTTGTAGAGAAAATACACAATCAAGCTAGCCTTGAATTTAAATTTGTCCCATTAATTCAAATAAACTCCCTCTGAACCCAAGAATACTATGTTTCTAAGTCTACCGTCATTATCTATTATATTCTGTCCTTTCCCCTCAAATTTCCAAGGCTCCCTTATCCTAACTAGAAGTTGATGGCATTCCTTTCTATTTCCCTGAAAGAAAAAAAAAAAAAAATTCAATTTGATAAGAGTACATTCAAAAGTTTGTATCATTACTTTTAATGGCCAACCACTATCTGCTCCCATTTGTGTTTCTATAGCGTTCTTAGCTGTTACATGAGGCCATTGGTTCTAATGCTGTGGCCCTTTAAAACAATTCCTCGTACTGTAATGCTCCCCAAACCATAAAATTATTTCATTGTTACTTCATAACTGCAACTTTTCTGTTATGAATCAAGCACAATGCAATATCTGACATGCAGCATTTCTGGTATGTGACCCCATGTGGGGTCATGACCCAGAGGTTGAGAACCACTGCCTAAGGCCGTTGTGCACCAGATCCAGCTCCTGTAAGCCCTCCAACATCATCAGTTCCCATCTCCACCATATGCTCCACTTACAAGCCTTCATTCTCATACTCAGTATTCTTGCTCACCTGCTTTTCCAGGTATAACCCCATTGCTCTTCTACTCTATAGCACACATTCTCAGAATTCCCCAAATTACTCTCCCACCATTCTTCCTGCAACTGTTATTTAGAAGACCCCAAATAGCCTGAGTATTACTAACTCCAATGGTCACTTCTCAGCCATCATTTTGCATGGATTGTTCTCTCCTTTGAAGTTTGATTTTCAGAATACAACATTTCACTGGTTTTCCGTGATCTGAGTATAGTCTCAATCTCTTCTTTAAGTCCTATATTTTACTGGGGGGGGGAGGGGGGGGCTGGAGAGATGGCTCAGAACACTCGCTGTTCTTCCAAAGGTCCTGAGTTCAATTCCCAGTCAACCACATGGTGTCTCAAAACCATCTATAGTAAGATCTGGTATGCAAGCAGAATATTGTATAAATAATAAATAAATCTTACAAAAAAAAAAAAACTAATGCAAAGTTAGTTTTAAAATATATATATTATTTGTGGATTTCTATTTATATGTCCTTATTGGTTTTTACAGAACTTCATACATATTTGAACTCCTGTCACATCAGGGAAATAGTAGAATGTTCCCCGTAACAGTTGCACTGCATTAAATCCCCTTCCTCTCAGCTTTCCAGCACTGGCTACTGCTTTCTCTTTTTATAATAGTCACTCAAACTGGCTTTAATTTCCCTGACAATTGATGACACTGAGCATTTTCCCATTTACTTACTAACCTTTGTTTTAATGTTTTCTAAGTAATGTCTATTCATGCAAAGGATTGTCTGCAGAACAAATATTTGCTGGAATCTAGTAAATATTTAACAAACAAGACTTTCCAAGCTGGAAATATATATATATATATATATATATATATATATATATATATATATATAATTACAGACTGAGAACTCTCATCTCCTGTTTTCTTTTGAACACTAGAGTAAAAACAATTTTCCTTGCAGTAGGAGCACAGTGACTGAATGATTAAATTCAGTCTTAATCTCAGTAGTGTTCTTTCATATGAAAACAAGCTTCAAGCTATTTTCTGAGTATGGCTCTCCCACGGAAATAAGCCTTCATTAAAGAGATGGCTAACTGTACACTAATTATGGTTTTCTAGTGTTAACTAGTTTCCCCCACTGAAACCAAAAAGGAGAAAGAAGCATGCACCGTGGAAGGGATACAGCCGAAGAATGAATATTCCACAGTCCGTTCAACTGCAGAATGTTAGTAAGGCCCAGGAAATTCGTTCAGTGCAAGGGCTTTCCCTTTCATTTTACCCTTGGTAAATGAAATTAAAAAAAAAAAAAAACAAAACAAAACAAAACTTTCACTACAAGTAATTTCCAATTCTTCTACTTCCATATCCTCTCAAATGTATTCTACTCAAAGGCTTGGCCCGATAGTGATGAAATTCACTGGATTTAAACTCAAATCTCCACTGATTAGAAAAGTCCTCTGTCTCAAACTCATAGCAAACTAGAGACGGCCCACGGTTAAAGTGGCATCTGTCTTAAGAGCGATAAGACGACCGTAAAGGCATGACGGCTCTGTGTTAAACTTCACTTCTGACTTACAGAAAAGTTGCCACCTGTCTCCCATGACAGCAACCGCCGCCTCAGCGGTCCATCACTAAAGGCTTCCCGGGGCCCTCTGTTCTGCCTCAGACCGAAAGAAAGGGGGTGACAAGGCTGCGGTGGCTTAAGGGGCATCTGTCTAAGGCTAATCCCTTCCTAGCCCAGGCCAAAGCGCTAGCACTGGCCGCAGCCGGGAGGTGGGACGCGCATTCCTGCTTCCGGAAAGGAAGACCGAGGCTCGCGCTGCCCACAGCGTCACGTTCTTTGGGTTCGAGAAACCCGTCGGTGCTCTGTGTCGCGCCAAGAATACGTAAGAGAACAGACCAAAGGGACAAGCTGAGGGGCGCAAGCGGAAACGGCGGCTCCGGCGAGGGCAGAGGCGCCGCGGACAGGCGAGCGGACGAAGAGCCGGCGCCGTCGGAAGTGACGTGTCAGGAAGCGGTCGGACTCGGTGTCCCGCTTCATACCCGGTGAAGCGCGCAGCCAGGCGCAAAACCGTGCACCGCAGTGGCCGCCTAACGAGACTTGCGACCACGCGAGAATTGGGGTTTGAGACTTGGCTTTTCTCCACCCACCGCTCCGCCCCGCCCATGCCTGTGACGCACGCGTCGAATCCCGGCCGCCTACGCCAATCAAAGCGGCTGGGCGCGAGAGAGGTCGGAAAAAAGGACCTGTAGGCCACGCCCCTCGCGCGCGGCCTCTCGGGAAAGCCTCACCCGGCTATAAAAGCGCTCGCGCGGCGCGCGGAAGCCTCTTCCGCTGCAAGCTGGCTGCTTGGTGGTTGTTATCTCGCCGAGTTGGTTTTGGGGTTTTGTGAGTTGCCAAGATGCGGGAGCCGCGAGGCCATTGCGGTGCGGGCCACTGGCTGTTAGCACCGCGGAAGTGCGCTGAAGGCTAAGCGCGCTGGACACGGCTCTTTGAAACCAGTGCGCTGTTACGCGGGGCCACGCCGAGGCCCGCCACCCTTCGGTCGGATGGTGAGTGACACTGGCGAGTTTTAACTTGAGTTCTGGGTTGTGAAACTCCATGTGTCTTTGGGACCTGCCAGCTGTGGCAGTCTCCCTTCCTAGCCATGGAAGAGCATGTTCTTGTTATTGGCAAAGCTGTCACCATTTCATTGGTACCAGATTCTGACTTGAGCAAGTAACATTCCAAGCTGATTAGACTGTGTGACGCCGGGATGTTGGATGTACGTTTTTTTAAACTAGTTTTAAATGTTCGTAGGTAACGCCTGAACTCATTGCTGCTGATGGCTGAGGGAGACTTGATAAGGTAAGACGGTTCCGGGTAGTGAATGGGCCTTTAAGGTGCAGTTTGCACATGTACTAACTTGTGAGTTATGCAGATGATAAAACCAGCCAATTTTTATAGGAATCCGCTAAACTGATACGGGATATTGGGACTAGAAGAGTGCACGGATATTCTGTAATGCTGTTTTTACTCCTCTTGCAGGTACTGTTAGAAGTAATAGTGGCTGAGATCATCCGGACGCCTTACAGGGAATCTTCACCTTTAAATCTTGAAAATGACTGTTGTGAATAGTAGTACGACAGATACCAATACAGCCCTGAGCTTTAGTTCCTGTAAGGAGGGGTTTTTTTTTAACTCCAAATAAAAATTGATGTGGAATAAGACAGTGTCCTGTTTACTTCTTGGAGGTTGTGTGAGTTTTGAAACAGACGTTTGCACAGGAAATAACTGTTAACCAGAATACCAGAGGAGGGGATAGCTTTGATTGCTACAGAAATGCACTGGACACATTTTTATTAATTAATGTGGTAGTTAATTGCTTTTACATGTGATTACACAGGCAACCAGTGTATAGTTATCTTTACAGAAAGATAGGTAGTGCATGTTGCTCTCCAAGCCCTTAAGTAAGCACATGCCATTAAAGTTTTACCTCCCAAAGTGAAGTTTCAAGTGCCAATTAAGGGCTGTGGGTTTCCGGGTTGGTTTTTTGTTGTTTCTTTTCCTCCGTTTAATCACTGTAGCACTCTTGTCCCTCCCTGTTACCCCTCACCTCAGAAGGAGAGGTCCTACAGGTACCTAAGGATTGTTTACAGTCCTATTAAAGTCAGTGCAATCTTGTTACTGAGGTTTTGGGGTTTGAGATGGGTACAATACTCAATGTTCATTCTTGAACATTAACTCATCTCAAGGAAGATTGGGACCATGAGAGATTTATCAGCACAGGGATTCTTGCATAACATGGAATCCAGATTCTCAGCCATCCTAACCCTAATTTCCATTTGAGAATGGCTTTTCTAAAATGGCTTCTGAAGTTGTCAGTAGGTTGTATGGTCACTGGGTGCTTGCTTGCCGCTTCATGGTATTGCACTATCCATAAGTTGTGTCAGCTTACTCTTGGGAAATCTGTAGGCATAGTCGAAAAATCCCAGTAGATGGCACTCTTGAGTCAAAGCAGTATAACAGTACCAGCAGTTTGAGAGCTGCCTGCGGAGTTACAGGGAAATAAAATTTTTGACTAGCCAAAACCTGTCCTAAGCCCTTGTTTAATACTAAGGCACTTCAAAGTAAATTGTGATGTAAGTATCTTGACTTTACTCCAGCTTACAGTTTTGTTCCTTACTGGCCCTTGATTTCATTTAACAAATGTTATGGAGATAATGAATTTGAGAAAGTGATGTGCCAGTCTTCGTGTGGATTTTAAGTAGGTCAAATGTGAGAACCTAATCATAAAGTTCCTAGTTCAAATAAACTCAGTGATTGTAAAAAGATTTGGGGGGAAACTCAAGAGGGCGAATGAAATTTCACTGAAGTACCTGTACCCCAAGACTGCTGGATTCTCTCAAAGGCAGAAAGTAGAAATGGAGGAGTTGTCATCCATGGCTTGGTGCCAGGTACGGAGATTGAATACTTCCCATCAGTTTCTTTACTGTTTCTTATGCCTCCCATAAATTACAGTCTGGTAACACTTTTTATCCAAGGGACAAAGGCAGGGACTCGGGTATAAACACCAGGAGTATCTTTGATTCCGCAGCCATAACCCCAGGAGGTCACCCCATACACAACCCAGGTCTCATCAGGCCTTTCACACATAAGTGGTCCTCCACTGTCTCCCTGGCAGCTGTCCACACGGTTATCTTCTTGGAGATTTCCAGCACAGAGCATTCTCCCCGTGAACAGTCCCTTGTAACGCTCTTTACAAAGCCTCTTGGGTAGCAAGGGCACAGCTGCTTGTTGCAGAGTTCTTGAGTAGGCACGACCTGCTCAGACCAAAGAAAGCTAAGTTAGTCGATGAGATTTCATCTCATTACATTGTAACAGGTTGGTGAACATTTAGTAATCTTAAGATATTGCAGCATTGGCGGGTTTCAAGATGGTGAGTACTTTTAAATACATAAGATGGTAGGTGTTTAACAGGGATGTGGTATTAAGGATGGTTCAAAAGTAAAAGTGCAGACTTCAAGTGGCATTCAGATAGTCTGCTTCCTGGTAGTGAAAAGGCTTAAATGTACAACTGGTATGTCCTGCATATTCTTAGTCTAGTAAGTGGCAATAATTAGACCACCCTAGACATCCTGGTCATTCGATGTATCCAAAAGAAAGCGAAATCTGTCATGAAGCAATCACAGTTCTAAAACAGCCTTTCCAGAGTGTTTTGTTGCTGCTGTGAAGTAGCAGGTATTCTGGTTAACCCAGTTGTTTCCTGTTGCATAATGAGATTTGTTGGTACATACAAAGCACATTTCCAACACTTACTACAACGTATGCTTGTTTGACACTCGAGCGTGATTATACATGAACTTTTTGATGGAAAGCTGCCAATCTAAGATTACTCATTTAATAGTTACTTTTTAACTGAGACCTTGGTCTTAAGTTTTAAGGCTTGTCCATCAGTACAGGCTACTTGATGTGCACTAGTGTGTCTCCACAGCTTCAAGCAACCACATTCGCCTAAGAACCCATGGTGAATAGTACCGTTGCTTACAGGGTGCAAGTAGAAAAGGACTGGGTGAGGAAGAAATCTAAATGTTTTTCTTCAACCTCAGCCTCTCTCCACCTAAGACATTTTGCTGTTTTCTGGCCAAAAGTCAACTTGTTGAGGATTCCCTAGCAAAAAGAACAAACACCAATGTCCTTTACTGAGCCAACTTCTTCAGAATCATCTGGAAGAGCTTTCTAAATGTCACAGGATTCCAGATTGATTTCTTGGGTGGAGTCCTTTAAATCTCTTCCCTGTCCTCAGTGGTCTGAGTGACTAAAAGTAAAGCACCTTCTGTCCCACTGGCAATTGAATTCTACAAGCTTGTGCTAAAATTTGGAGTTAGAACCACCACTCCTCAGGATGTGAATCAAGGCTGTGTGTATACATTTCACACCTGGCAGACTTTAAGCCTCTAAGCTTGAGTTCCCCTAAGGCAGTGGTTCTCAACTTCCTAATGCTTCGAACCTCTAATGCTGTTCCTTATGTTGTGGTGACCCCCAACCATAAGATTATTTTTGTTGCTGTTTCATAACTGTAATTTTGCTACTGTTATGAATCGTAATATCTGTTTTCCGATAGACTTAAGTGATCCTTGTGAAGGGGTCACAACCCACAGGTTGAGAACCACTGATCTCAGGTCTTTATCATTGTACATCCTAATATATGTGGACTCCAGACAGAAAGCTGTCCAGTTTTCCTAGTTTGTTTCTTTAATTTTTATATTACCTGTGTCTCCCCATCCTGTTATGTGACAATTGGAGGCTGTTTTCTGTGGCCTCTCTCTCCATAGAGGTAGACAGGCTGGCAAAACGTGGCTGTTTAGTCTGGCACATTGTTCCCCTGCTCCTTGTAATCTAACCAGGGCAATGTCGTAATCACTGCTGTCTGGCCGATAGTTCCTGTGAATCACAATCTGTTGAACCCCTACTTCTTCTTCATACTCCTCTGGTACCAAAGTATGATAATCCCCAACTCGAACTGCGTAACTCCTCGAGTTGTTACCATACCTGAAAGGAGAGCCAACTGTGAAAAATTGATGATTGACAGGCAGTAATGTTAAACTATAACAAATCTTGTTCCAAATCACGTCCTTTTGCAAATTTAGCTATCTTCCCATTTCTCTTCCCCAATGCTCACTGTCTCCTCCTCGAAGCCCACTATTCTCACTTCTTACTTTGACTTCACTCTAAGTCTAGACTACTATTTTCTGAGAAGTAGCGAATGTGGGAGTGAGTAGAAAATAAGGACAAAGCATCAAAATGTCAATCCCTTACCAAACAGAAACACACAGTGTAACACAGAATTACTGTCCCGATTTGCCTTGTTGATTTTGCTTCCTGGAGACAAACATGGCTAACCCACCTCTGTGTCCCTGAGCTAGTGTGACCTACCTTATCCCTCGAAAGAAGCCTTGGTGCCCATTATGAGTCAAATGCAACCAAATTGTGTTGGCATTCTCTCACAATTTTTTTTTTAACTTACTTTAATGTCACCTCCATGAAGCCTACTTTGCCACCTTCATATTTATATTGCAGCCCACCTTTCTTGGCAAACCTCCTATTCTCAGTATGCTTAATCTATTGTGCTTTATTTTCCTTTATGCACTGTTCATCAGTCTCAAAGATTATTTAGTTTAATATTTAAACTGCCTTGTGAAATTAACAAATATTCCTGAGGTGACCTAGGTCGCCAAGGGAGACTTCTGGGCCCACCCACCTGATTACATCATCCTCATAGAAGATGACAGCTGCTTGTTCACTGGCCCCAACCTCTATTTACAGCAAGAACCAGGGCTTCTGAAACTTTTACTTGTACATAGCCCCAGGTACTCAGTAATATAAAATCAAACATGGCAGTAAGCCATAAATTTGTTTCAAAACAAGCCTTTGGTGTACATATAAATTTGCACTTAGTAAAGATGAACGCAGGCTTGCATACTAATGGGATGGATATGCTCCTTCACTTTTACAGAAAAAATAAAATCTTAGCTGGTCTCAGAGCATCTTCAACACCTTTCAGAAGTGATTGGCATTTTAAGACAGGATCTCACCCTGAAGCCAATGCTAGCAAGGAATCGGCTACGTGTAGCCTCAGACTTGCACCAGTCCTCCAGCCACACAAAACTGATAGTCCAGGCATGCACCACCATGTTCAAGTTCACAACCGGTTTTTCAAAACTTCTTTTTGCCTCCCAAACACTGCCCCTGGCTTCTAGCAACCATCCACATGTTTCATGCTGCCGTCTAACTGCTGGGGGAAGAGGTGTGAACTTCTTCATGGTAACTTTTTCATGGTAAAAACCCTCCCTTTTTCATTTTTTTTTCCTTAACAAAACATGAAAGGTTCACTGCTCCCAAGACCTGCACTTGAATGTGAGTTGAAAGCATTTATATTCAATAATTTGCTAGTAGAAATCTTCTAGAAGCTAGAATTAACTGACTGCTTTATTAAAATATAACCCTTCCTTCTGTATTGGGAGAGGTTTGAACCTTCTAGTACCTCTGAACATCTTGTATAATTATGCAGCCATCAACTATGGACACGTAAATCCCTGTGGTTCCTGACAACTCTTGATTTTAAACCGGAATCATATATCTTTAAAGTGCCGTCAGCTTTTTGTTTTTTTTTGTTTTTTGTTTTGCCTCATATTCCAAGACTATGTTTTCACAGATTCATTTTAAAACATAAAATATATATTTCACAATAAATGTTTAAAATTTCTAAACTATTATAAAAATGCAAGTAGAAAAATTGTACACCAGAGCTGCTGTTGGTGGCACACACCTTTCATTCCAGCATCAGAAAAGCAGAAACAGGAAAATCTCTGTGAGTCAAAGGCCAGCCTAGGCTACATACAGAGCTAGTTCCAGAACAGCCAGGACTACATAGACCCTATCTCTAAAGAAAAGCAAAGAAAAGAGAAAAGAAAGAAAAAAAAAAAATCACACATCAAAATTAACTGAACCCAAAGTTAATTTATACATCTCAGTGACTTGAATAGCAATTCTGAAGATGTGGAGCTTCAAACTAGACTTTCTGTACACTTTTGGTATTAAATATATCTTTATGTATTTATCTATCATCAAAACTTTTTAAATGGTAACAATTAGAACCACTAGCTTTCGATCCTGTTTTATAACTTGAGTCCATCATTTGCATGCAGCCCTTCCTTGTCCCCTAGATATTTAACCTTTCTTGTTCTTGTTTTTGCATGTTTTACTGAACCCACGTGTACATTTGTTTATATATATATGAATATATTGTTAGTTAGGTTCTGCATATGAGGGAAGGCATGCAGTTTTATTCCTCCTGAGATGTGTGACCTCACTTAGTATTATGTATTCTAAGTCCATTTTCCTGCAAATTTTTATATCATGTTTCATTTTCTATGGGGCTGAACAGTGTATATATTCCAAATTTTCATTAACCCTCTGTGGATGGACAACTAGATTGATTCCAATATTTTGCTATAGTAATAAAGCAACAATAAACATGGGGTGGAAATATCTCTATGCGAAGTATGAAGTTATCTGGTTATATGCCCAGGAGTAGACTAGCTGGAACATACGGCAGTTCTATCTTTAATTTTCTAAGAAATCTTCAGACTGACTTCCACAATGGCTATATTGATTTGCACCCCCACCAACCATGAATAAGGCTTCCTTTCCTTTTGTATCCTCTCTAGCCATTGTTTTCAGACTTGATGATAGCCATTCTGACTGGAGTGAGCTGTTATCTCAACATAGTTTTGCATTTCCCTGAGGCTAGTGGGGTGGTTTGAATAGGAATGGCCCCTTTAGATTGATTGGCCCATAGGAAGTGGCACTATTAGGAGTTGTGGCCTTGCTGAAGTAGGTGTGGCCTTGTTGGAGATAGCTGTGGAGGCAGAAGTTGAGGTCTCCTATGCTCAAGCTAGGCCTAGAATGGCAGTCTCCTTCAGCTGCCCGAAGATCAATATGTAGAATTCTCAGTTCCTTCTCCAGCATCATGTCTGCCTGCATGCTGCCATGCTTCTTGCTATGATGATAATGGACTAAATCTCTGAAACTCTAAGCCAGCCCCAATTAAATACTTTCCTTGATAGGAGTTGCCATGGTCATAGATGGTGTCACTTCACAACAGTAAAACCCTAACTAAGGCAGCAAGGATATTGGGCACTTTTTTTTTTTTTTTTGAAAACTGTTCTGTTAATTTGCCCATTTTGTAGTTAATTTCTGAATTTTTTTGTACGTTTTGGATATTAGCCCACTGTAACTGTCTGAAGTATAGCTGGAAAATATTCTCTCCCATACTGTGGGCTGTTAGCCCTGCTGATCATTTCCTTTATTTGCGTGTAGTCCCATCTTTTGATACTTGGTGTGAGTCCCTGTGCTGTTGCTGTTTTAAAAGTTCTTGTCAGAGGGCAACCTTAACGGTTACTCCTTAGCTCCCTCCCACTTTCTGTTTAACACGATCTCTTATTAGCCTACGGCTTTGCCAGCTAGTGGAATAGTCACCTCCTGGGGTCAGCCTAATGTCCCTCTATCCTTGGGATTACAAGCATGCTTTTTAAGGGCCTGGGGATAGGATGAATTCATGTCCTCATTCATATGAGGCAAGCATTTTATCGTTTTATTAAACTGAGCCATCTTTCCAGCCCAAACTTCAAGTACTCTTAAGGGTAACTATTATGCTTGAGATCAGAGGGACATCTAATAAAGACTGTGACTAATTTTTTGACCAAGTATTTGTCTACTACAGTCATTGCTCCTAGTAGATGTTATCATATACTGCAGAAAGGAAGCTAACCATGCATGGTTCTGGATGTCAAAAACATGTGTGGCTCAGGGCTTCTCCAGAAAATGTAAAGGAAAACTTTTTCATGTATTCTAGTCTTTCTAGCTTAGCCAAATTTATGGTACATTGATAGATATTGTATAAAAAATGTTTCTAAAACAAACATTTTAAATTTTGGCTGGCACATTATTGGGTTGTTTGTTGAAATTTCTTCAACTCCCCACAAACAAAAATTGTATGAAATTCCCACACAGATTTGTGCAAGAGAGGATCTGAGACCAGGCAGCTCAGGAAATCTAATATTAATAATCCCAATTTCTCTGACACTTTGTTATTAAGATGAACAACAAATTACTTGACTTAAAAAGTGAAGAATTGAGTTAGGTTTTAGGGCCATATGTACAGAACATTTGTGTTTGTTCCCTACATAGCATTATCTTTCCAAGAAAACAACGTCTTATCTCAGCCTGCCTATATTATCGGCTACCACTACAATATGCTTTTTCTCTGCTGTCTGAGTTATACTTAGTTATACTTTACTAAATCTGCCTATGTAAATGCTTACCGTTGTGGCCAAAGAAATTACCTTGCTGAGACCTTGCAGTGTTCCTGACATCTCTGAACTGTGTGTGGCTTTAACTTGATTAGTGCTATGGGTCCCAGCAAAGACAATGTTCTTCAGAACTCTATCATATAGGAGGTCACGAGAGAATGCATGTTAAGCATTTGATACACTGATTTTTAAGCATACCTCTCATTACCTCTGGGGCTAGTCTTTCTAATTATAAGTATTTACAGACTTCTCCCTTTGCAGAGCAGCAGTCTCTGCCAATTTGTACATGCTGTGGTATTTCCAGGCAAAAAGTCAAAGAGATAAAATCAGGCAAAATGATATTCTTGAGTATATTAAGTTTGGAGAAGACTTACACAAAAATAAGAGGGTCCTTGTTTCACACACCACACATTCATCCTTCCAGAATTGTGTTGTGATAATATGGGTAGTTAGTAAGACTTAAAAGATTCAGAAATTTTTCTCTCACTTGTATTCCTGTGCCATTGTAGACACAATGTTATTTCATAGTATTTTGTAGTAATGATTTAGAATAAGAGATAGGAAAGACAAGTAGCTTATACCATGAATGACTCAAAAGAAATTTTTCAAAAACGTAATTTACTTAAGCTTCCATTTCAAATTACTAGTAGCATATCCACATCCCCACTATTGTTTTAACATTAGAAGAAAAAAAAAAAAACTGTGGAAGAGGGGTTTGTGATAGTGCACACCTTTAATCCTAGCACTGGGGAGGCAGAGGCAGGACACATCTTTGAGTCTGAAACCAGCTCTTCTACATAGTAAGTCCCAGACAAGACAAAAGAACCAGCAACAAACAGGGGAAATGGTGAAAGAGGAGATAGAAAACCTCTAAATAGTGGCTCATGAGCTGTCAGCGGCCCTTGTCATGCTGGCATACACATGCTTCTTGGACACACCACAAGTGTATGAGAGGCCCATGATGGGTGAGAGTTGAGTTTCTAGAATGCTACCAGTTCTCCAGTGAAGTACCCAGAAAACCCATAAAGATGCAGTATCTGAGATGAATAAGGCTGAATACCTAAAATTTTGGCATTTTGGTTTCATCCTGCCTAGGCCATCTCTTCTGGATTGTTCTGATACAAAACAGTGATGACTTTATAAAGATAAAATAAACCTCAAAAGCTTTCAATAGTGTAATAAACCACACAGCAAATACCACACAGTCTCATTGTTCACACATGGGTGCTCTAAAGCTCTGATCCATTATCATCACAGGACCAAATGGGGCCAGTGTTCATATCTCTACATAGTCAGAGGCTCAGTGCTGGATGAAAGAAAGGGTAGGGGGCATAATAAAATATGAAATCCAGGTTTTATCCAAGGAGGCCTTAAATCAGGCTACCATATTTTCCTATATCTCCATAAGAAATACAAATGAATAGTGTAACTTCTCAGGGCCTGACCACTTTGCTTCTTTCAAATTTCAGTGCTTTATGATTAAAGGAGAACTGTTTGAGCCAAAGCCTCTGAATCTAGAAAATCAAAACACGGAGCTAGTTTGAAGAACTAGTAACTGACTCTATGCCTTTTAATGAACTTACTCAAATAAAACAAGAGTAGCTTTCTCAGTCACTTAAACAAGATGACTGTCAAATCCAGTGACTCTAAAGACCAAGTCAGATGGACATGTAACACATTGGCAAGCAGTTTCCTCCTGCTCACATAAAAGAACCTTCCATTTCTTCTAAAGCATAGAAACTGCTGAATATCATAATCTGTTCCTCTGATCTTTAAACCGCTGTCTTCATCTTATGCTCTGCAGATAAAAGGAATCCCAGATGACATGTGGGAGCACTTATCTGTTGATCTACGTTTAGAATAATAACTACTGTTCTCTAAAAAGCCCAGCATTCTTAACTGTATCTGTCGTCTGGGGATGGAGCACCCACGTTAATCATGTAAGGAACACTCAGGAGTCTCTACTATGGCAATTGAGCATGAATGAATGTTAAGCAATATCTAGAATGGGCTGGCCAGGGGAGAAAAAAAAAAATGATTTGTAAACAAAAGTTTCAACAGCTTTCCTCCAAAACTCTGGTCTTGATGGACAGATCCCAGCCTTCTATTATATCATACCAACTTCTGACTTCTATTCCAGAAATACTGTCTTGTTTCCTCTGGACTCTTACAGCAATACCATACACTGTATGAAAAGCAAATATCCAGCCAGTCTCAGGCTGTATCACTACTGCATATGCCTGGGAATCAATAGTTATCTGTGTTTTGGGGTTGGTTAATTGGTGGATTGGTTGGTTGGTTGGTTGGTTTCAGTTTTTCGAGACAGGGTTTCTTTATGTAGCCTTGGCTGTCCTAGAACTAGCTCTGTACACAAGACTGGCCTCGAACTCACAGAGATCTACCTGTCTCTTCCCAGTGCTGGGATTAAAGGTGTGCACCATCACATCTGGGTTAGGGAAAGATTTTTTTTTTAATTTTATTTTTCTTTTTAGTTACATTTTGTTAACTCTGTGTCCCAGCTGTATCCCGCTCCCTCATTCCCTCCCCAACCCCGCACTCCCTCCCTGGTCTCCTCCCTGCCCCTTTCCAAGTCCACTGATAGGGGAGGACCTCCTCCCCTTTCATTTGACCCTGTTTTATCAGGTATCTTCAGGGCTGGCTGCAAAGTCCTCCTCTGTGGCCTAACAGGACTGCTCCTCCCCTGGGGCTGGGGGAGGGTCAAACAGCCTGCCCTTGAGATCCTGTTAGAAATAGTCTGTGTTCCCCTTACTTTGGAAAACTACTTGGTTACTGAGCTACCACGGGCCACATCCAAGCAGAAGTTCTAGGTTATATCCATAGATGGTCCTTGGTTGACTGTCAGTCTCAGAAAAGACCCTGTGCCCGGATATATTTGGTCCTTGTAGAGCTCCTATCCTTTCCATATCATACTAACTTCCCTTCTTTCATATGATTCCCTGCACTCTGCCGAGGGTTTGGTTATGAGTCTTAGTGTCTGCTTTGAAACACTGCTAGGTAGAGTCTTTCAGATGCCTTTTGTGGTAGATTCCTGTCATACGTTCAATGCACATTAGGGAAAGATTTTTAATAAGGTATACAAAGCTTCGTACAAACTGACAAGAACTATAAAAAAATAAGAGTGTGAGCCATACCAAAAAAAGATATTTGTGGGCTGGAGAAATGGCTCAGAGGTTAAGAGCACTGCTTGCACTTCCAGAGGTCCTGAGTTCAATTCCCAGCAACCACATGGTGGCTCACAACCATCTATAATGATCCAGTGCCCTCCTCTGGTGTGCAGGTGTACATGAAGACTGAACATTGTATACATAATAAATAAATCTTTTTTTTTAAAAAAAAAAAAAGATATTTGTAACACATAACAACAAAGGCTTTGTATGTAAACATATGTAAAAAATAAAATTTACTATAAAAAGACAATGATATATAAAATAAGCAAAGGATGTGAACATTATTTATGATAGAAGGCATTAATATAATCAAAAACCCAATAAAAACTACTCAGTACAATTCTACTGCAGTACAATTCTGTAGTATTGGAAGAATGGGAGTAACTGACTACCTATTAGTAGGGAATAAATAAACTGAAGTTCTACAGAAGTGACAGTTCATATGATAATTAACATGAATCTACACAGACTATGAATACACAGTGAAATAAACACAATATCGGGTAAAAGAGACATACAGTATCATGTAAAAGAGACACACTTGATTAGGACAATTTTTACAAAATGTAAAATTAAAATAACATAATGTAGTTCCTTGAGTTCACCTTGCTTCAGTAGTTTTCAACATTTTGTCAAATGTAGGCATCCTTTTTTTTTTTTTTTTTTTTTTTTTTTTTGGTTTTTGGCTTTTGATTTTTGGTGTTTCAAGACAGGGTTTCTCTTTGTTGCCTGTCTGCCTGGACTCACTTTGTAGATCAGGCTGGCTTTAAACTCACAGCCATCTGCCTGCCTCTGCCTCTGCCTCCCCAAGTGCTGGGATTACAGGTATAGGCCACGACACCTGGCTTGGTATACATTTTTAAGTGCTAAAATACATGTAAAGAAATGGCTGTCTACTACAGTTTGTGAATGAACAGTGAACAGGGAGGGAGAGAGCAGGTCTAGTGCAGGCACTGTGACGACAGCCCTCTAGCGGGACAGTGACTGTCTAGTGCAGCTTCCTTGAAGAGCTGAGAAGAGTTCAGAATGGACTGATAAAGTTTCTAGGACAAAAGTTTCCTCTTGTCAGAATAGCACTACATGCTATAAAAGCTAGGAATAAAATAGATGCAATGTGACTTTCAAGAACGTGCAGAGAAACTCAATACACAAACCATCGAGAATATAGAAGCATTAAAGGCGCTAACACTACGTCCGTTCCTCCTTAGGATTCATAACCAAATGATGTGACATCAATTTTACTTCTGCAAGGATATGAATTTTCATCTGACACATTTTTTTTTTGTTTTGTGTGTTGTTTGTTTGTTTGAAATAACCCCATGCTAGCCTCTCAATGATTCCCCTGCTTTAGCCTGCAAAGTACAGGGATGTGTCTGCACACCTGCATAACCGTAGAAAAACACTTGAGCAAAGCACTAGCATTGCTATTTCCTCTCCCCAAACCCTCCCTTCCCTTCTCCCTAGTTCCAGACTTGTCTTAACCAGAGAACATCAAGTTTTTTCCTGAGGCCTCTTTGCTGTTCTTCTTTGCATCACCTCCCTCATGTTCACAATGCTGCAGGGCAAACAGAGAAGGCAGATATCCTGGCTCTGGCACCCGCAGTGTCCCTGAGCATGGAGCAAGCTAGAGGACATCGTATTGTTTGGAATGAGGGACGCATACCTTTTGAAACAGTGTGCGGCTGTCAGGACCCAGCAGCTACTCAGAAGGGTGGCTCCACAAAGCAGCCTGCCGTCTCCATGGGACGACCTCAGCCGGAGGGAAGCCTGCCAAGGCCAAGAACCCCTAGAAGGAGCCAAGCCACACATTCAAGACAACAGAAATGCAAAGAAGAGCATCAGGTAAAACAGTGACTTCAGCGCAGGTGGCGGGAAGAACTCAGAGTGGAGTGATACCATGAGGTTCTTCCTGCGTGGAGACCAGTGCCCACACAACTCAATAGCCATAGAGATCAGCAACTCTGAAAACATGTCTACGACATCTGTGCATACATTCCACTCAGCTGACTCTCTTGAAAGCAAGTCGTCTTCTTTATATTTATGAGTCCTGTGTAATTTCTCTATTTACCCTAGGTCACATACATAGCCTATACATGTAGCTTAAAGATGTACTTGAACCAAATGCTGGTTTCCCACCAGTGAATTAAAATTAAAGTTTTCTTTTTCAAAAACATCAAATAAGAAACAAACACCCTCATTCAAGTCATGGTACCTGTGCACTCATACACATGTACACACGCATACACATTCACACACACTCACATGCACACACACTCACACGCTATACTCCTTGGCTTGCTTGAGGACTGGAAGTCACTTTAGTGACTACACTGCCTTCTGTCTTCCTTGATGCCTTCTCTATCCTCTCTCCTGTCTCTCCCTCCCCTCTCTCCCTTCTCCCTTTCTCTGGCCCTTACGCAAAGACGGTGCAAAAGCTAAAACTTGTAACTCAGCGTTTTCACTATACGCAAAAACTCATGGGGCCCTTTCGGCATTCAAATGCTATACAACAGCGGTTGCCAACCTTCCTCACGCTGCGCCCGTAAGATTATTTCGTTGCTCCTTCAGACCTGTAATTTTGCTACTGTTATGAATTGTAATATAAATAGCTGTGTTTTCTAATGGTCTTAGGTAACTCCTGTGAAAGGACTATTCAAAGCCCAAGGGGGTTGTGGCCCACAGGTTGAGAACCACTCTAATGCAACCATATGCAGGTTTTTACCAGTTTATCATTTCATAAATATGAGACTACATACATATGCACTAGGTGATGCTATTATCTGTATGTGTCTTAAATTTTAACTTGTAGGCTTGTAATGGAAAGAACTTAAAGGTCTCTATATTCACAGCACCTGTGCATTAGCCTTTCAAAGTTTATATACATCAGATGTGTATTTCTGGTTTGGAATAAGCTGCCATTTTAATTTTTCTTAGCTTTTCATTCATGAAATCTCCGAGTGTGTGTGTGTGTGTGTGTGTGTGTGTGTGTGTGTGTGTGTGTGTGTAGGTTAGAGGGTAACTTTTGAGAGTCAGTTCTCTCCTTCCACCACATGAGTGTTCTAGGGACCAAACTCAGGACATCGGGCTTGGCAGCAAGCACTCTTACCAGTGAGCCGTACCGTGTCACCAGCCCATGCAGAGTGTTATGAGGAACATAACTTCTGAAGGACTGTGAAGAGACGTCTTCCATTGATTTAGAATAGGCCCAGTTTCCATTAAATGGCTCTACACAGTTACATGCTTCGTTTCTTGCCACATTTTGTGTCAGAAACACATATCCTGAGTCACACACGGTGATGTAATACATGGCCTACCTATAGTGAATGTGTGTCAAAGGGCAGGAAACCTATGAGTTTAATCATTATTTAATTTGTAAAATGACGGAACCGGCCCCGTACACAACAAAATGTGACCCTGAGTCTGTAACCCTTCTAGCACATACATATGATACAATAACCCTGCAATATCAGAATCTCCTTGAGGAACCCTTTACCTTAAAGAATTGTTCCCACCAATGATCCGCTTCTGTCGACGGTGCAATAATCTCAGTCCGCACCCTGGTGAGAGCATCTCTGAAAGCAGAAAGGGCACTGGCACCCATCGCCTCCCCTACCCCACACCCCCTCCACTATCTAAAATAGCTTTTCTCTGAAAATCGTAGCATAATTTTTCTTGCGATAAAAATAAGAGTTATCTTTTAACCAAACAACCATATGCAAGCAGATCAGAAACTTTATGAAGTTTCCAATCATTCGGCTCTGAAGGATTTCATGGGCTGCCACAATGACCCTGATTATCTTTCCCAAGATAACATTTCTATCTAAATACACAAGAGTTCAATTAAACACGAGAAAGTAGCAAATATTTACAAAAGAAAAGCAAACATATAAGGCGTGACTACATTTTAAAATAGTTTACAAAGAATTTATGTAGGAGTAGTTTCCTTTAGTGTATATACATAGATATATATTGTTTATTTATAAATATAAATAATTTTAAAATATGAAGCACATGGTATACACACGTGGTTTTATTTTTGTTATTTCTATGTCTGTATAAGAAGGGTAGGAACTGTGCCAAGAACATGAAGACCAAATCAGTGCTAATGGTTCCAAGGGAATCCACCCGAGAGCCAGCAGGACTTTTTGGCAAAGAAAGTAGTATATCAGTGTGTACCAAGATGATTAGTTTGCCAAATGACCTTAGAGGCATGCCATCAAAACCTGACCCTCCATCCCTGTGAATTTACAATTTCTAATGGCACTGCAATTTATAATTTGAGAAAAACTTTGCAATAGTGTTCCATCTTGGGCCAGTGTATCTGATGCCAAGCAAAGTAATACTTTAATGCTAAGCAAGCGAAACTTAAAGTGGACATCACTCTGAGCAAACACCTGACTTTAAGAAACAAAACTCAATTTCAGACTGTACACCATAGGAAATAATTAAGAAGCAAGACTGGATTCCATTATAGGAGTATCCTATCAGGTGACCAGTCACCAATCACTCATGTTTAATTGTCTTATGGAACCTCACCAGGTTCTGAACTGCAACAGAAAGCATAAGGTAATGAAGCAAATTATATCATGTAGCTAGAGATGAAACATTTTCATTGAGGATTTGGAAGCACTGCCCACCATGGAAAAACATCAAAATAAAATGTGTTTTAACATTCAGTTTTACATTTTTTCAGCCGCTTCAGGAATTTGACATAATCCAAAGAATTTGTTATTATTCAATTTGTAAGAATAATTTTAATTATTGAAAGGAATCTAACAAAGTAAGTTGTTTTGAGGGAAAGTTATGCTGAGGAAACCGAGTCACGTTGTCTTTGGGGAAGACAGGCTTCCGAGGATTGTGATCACACCCAGAAGCCCCTCAGAATCAAAGAGCCATGTTAACGCTGTGCAGTCCTGCTCTTGTGTTAGCTCAACAATTTAACGAAGGGATGTATAAATGAGCAAAAACTATACTTCTATCCAGATCAAAAGTGCTTGATCTTTCTACAAAAGATAACCAAGGATTTCTCAAAAAAGCTAGTTCTTTCTTTTAAAGCAGTACTATTTCATAATTCTTGAATATACCAAGAGCTTTCAAGAATTCTAAGTATGGAAGAGCTATTTACTATGCCAATATTGTACTGTACTCTCAATTTCCTTAAGTTTAAAAAATTTAAAGAATAAAATCTACAAAAAGAAAATGTATCTTTTAAAAACTGACTTTAATCGGATGTGGTGGCTCATGACTGTAATCCCAGCACTCAGCAGGCTGAGGCAGGAGCATCATTGTGATTTCATGACCACCTGGGCTACACGGTGAGTTCCAGATTAGTCTGAACATGAATGAGAGTCTGCCTCAAACAAAACAAAAGTCTCGTAAGACTTATCTCTGCTCTTTGAAATACTGCTAATAAGAAGAATCTCAATCCTGAGAGCTTAAAGATAGCAACAAGCCAGATAAGTGTATTGCATTCAAAGAGGGCAATACAGAAATGGCTGAGGGTGTAAAAGGAGCTGATCTCAGAGGCTTCGAGGTTCTGGAAGCCCACTGCTTTCCCCCTGTAAGCCTCACGAAGACACAGCATAAACGTGAACACAAACAAGGTCTATGCACATTCCCTCTGCGCTAGGATCTTGTTCACAAAGTCTCCTGTAGTCACGGGAATTAGCAGTTCTTGACTAACCTTTGTGACCACTGCTTGACGCCTTCTTCTCGTAATAGTCGCAGATGACGCCTGCATCCTCGCTGTGGCGGCAGTTGTGCCTTCCGATGGCTTGTTTGACACAGTCAGCCAGGGTCTTCTCATTGCCCGTGCACTTCACGTTATCCATGTGGATGGGTCCTTTTCCTTCCCCAAAATAAGCCATGGTCCTTGCTCTGGCAGAGCCCCTGGAAAGAGAGCGCTCTTCAGATGCGGAGGGTTGGCCAGCCAAGTTCTGACAGACTTCAACACACACCAGCTCAACTCTGCCTTAGATCTGAATCTTAAAATTAGCATATGTGTGTACTGAAAGTCACTCTCTGTGACTGTCAAAACATTTAACATTGTTCATTAGTGTGCATCTAATTCAGCTTCTCCTGAGAAAGTCACACATAATGAAATGCCAAAAATAAAGTCACCCCAATTTTCACTCTTTTACTATCACTGCCAACATGAGACTAAATAATAACCAGAGACTTACAGACTAATTTTTCACCTCCTTTTAAAGCAAAATTTACATTTTTAACACAGAAAATCTTGGAATCATGGAAGGCAGAATTATTTTGGAATATTTCCTTTTTGTTATCTTAACATTACTTTCTGATAATCTATAAATCTAAAAACTGTTAAAAAGACAACTAAAAATTCCACATTTAATTACATTTCTAATAAATTACTGAACTCAATTATGAAAAGAAAAATCATTAAAATTAAAATCAGGAAAACTATCCTTAACATATCAGTTAAAAAAATTATTCAGCAAGGATATAAATAAAAATACTGATCACCTTACAAAATACCACACTAAATAAAATTAAACAATAAAGCAGAAATCCAGTGTTTGTAAAAAACATTTACAAATATATTTGTTGGTAAATTCTTTTTTTTTTCTGTTTTTTTTTTTTTTTTTTTTTTTTTTTTTTTTTTTTTTTTTTTTTTTTGTTTTTTTTTTTTTTTTTTTTTTTTTTTTTTTTTTTTTTTTTTTTTTTTCTGGGTTTTTCTGTGTAGCCTTGGCTGTCCTGGACTCGATCTGTAAACCAGGTTGGCCTCAAACTCACAGCAATCCACCTTGCTCTGCCTCCCTGATTACAGGCATGCACCACCACGCCTGGCAGTAAATGCTTTTGTAATGGAGAAAATAACATACATTATAGAAGGAAATACCAAAATTTACTCAAAACTTTAAAAATCCAACAACTGAGATAAAAAGCAAGCTAGATCCCAAATAAAATAATCCCAATAAAAGAAACTACTGATAGCCAGTAAATAAATGGAAATGTGTTTGATCTCATTAAGAAATAGTGATGAGGTAAACTCTAGATATTCACAGACTTAAAGACGACTACTGAGTGTGTATGTCCGTGTAGCCTCATGGGAAAGCAACCTTGCAGCCCTGGACAAACTTCAATATCCCGGTAGCCAACATGCTGATGGTCATATTCCTCCTAAGCATATTTCCTAAGAACTCTCTTGAACAAGTCCCTGTAACAGCACCCGGGCTCTGTCTCACTAGCCCTCTCTCCGTAGAGTACACTGTCCCATCACTGCGATTTATAGTCTCCGCCATCAAGAAGGTCCTCACTAGGAAAGACTCCTCAAACTTCCAACCTTCCAGAACTGTGAGTTCATTCTTTACGAATTACTCAGGCTGTTGCTTTTCAGTGATGGCAACGGAAAATGCACTACCACAAATATGCGTGCAGCACCAACACCACGAAGAGGCAAGTTGTCTCTCTGTGGAATCTAACGTCGCAGAGCAAAATGAGCGCAAATGAATCACACCCTCCTGTATAGGGAGGTATCTCGAAAGCCGCTGAAGATCCGAAAGCAGGATAACTGACTTTCAAAATCAGATTTTCAAAAACAGGTCAGACTATTGGCTAAAGAAAACACATTTTTATTATAAAAAAAATGCAAGAGGGCTGCGCAAAATTTGGGATGGTCTTTACTTTGGCTAGTGGAGTAGCGACAGCGTGGCTGGCACAGTAGGCACTTAGAGCTACAGTGGCACTCTGTTTCCCAGGCGTGGTGGCAGCGATGAGGTGCTTCACGCCGTTCTGCAAACCATGCACATGTATGTTTGTACGTATAAGCACGTGCACACATATATTTATTGTGGAAGGAGAAAAATTTAAATACAACTTCCAGGAGGAATGTAACTATATGTTCATGTATTTCAGTTAAGTATTTTTTTTTTTCCTTTCAGGTACTTTTAAATGGATAACAGGATCAGATTTATCTTCCACTGGCTATTACAGAATGATATAACTCTTTCTTCTAGTTAGCTTTAGCTGTCAGTTTGACCCAGCCCTGACCTCAGAGTTATCTGGGGACTTTCAATTGGACGGTTGCCTCAATCAGACTGGACCAATAGGTAGGTCTATGGGGCAAATTCTTGATTATTGCTTTATGTAAGTGGGCTCGGCCCACTGTGGGCTTTACAATCCCCAGGCAGGTGAGACTGGGTTAAAACACACACACACACACACACACACACACACACACACACACACAAGCCAGCTGAATGAACTTGGAAGCAATCCAGTAAACATAGTTCCTCCCTGATCACTGCCTCTCTTCCTGCTTGAGTTTCTGCCCTGGCTTCCCTGGTGATGGAAAGTGACCTAATACATAAGATTCCTCGAAAGTTGTTTTTGATGATGGTGTCTGTCACCACAACAACAGAAAGCCAAGTCAAATAGTGTTTTATTTTAAATGGAATACACAACTACACCAGAAATTAAGTCCTTTGCAAATATTCAAATGTAAGACAAATAAAATATACTTAATTGTATATCTCTATTAAAACTGTGGCAGTGGCATACCACTTTAAATTTTGCTGTTCCACAGCAAGCCCATTTTAAATGTTCACACAAAGTTCAAATAAGTTGGAATTTCCATCCTGTCCGGTTGTTCTAGCTCCGTGTATTCAGTAATCTCAGCATGGTCTGTTAGCACTCCAAGAACAATGTGCTTACATGCTATAGTTTGAGAAACACTATGAAACACATAATTAAAGAATGCCTTTGACTTTTCTGTTCATGCTAACATATTATATTTGTTCCATATTTCCTGGGTTTTATGACATGTTCGGTTTTCTTCTATAAAATACTTTCCCAGTTCTATTCTGATTTTCACTGTTTGCACAGGATCCTGCACATATGAGATTGTGGGCATGAGGACAGGTCTCTAGAATGTCTACACAAGAGGTTCAGACCTTTGCATGGCATACAATGTTTGGGGGATTGAGTTTGCAAATAAATATGTTGCCAAAAATTTTTATGATTCAAAATAAGCATGGAAAAAAGACCCCCTGCTCTGGTCACATATATGTCCACAATTGTATGTGTGGTACCATACAAAATATCATGTTCTCTCAGTTGGAAATCTAAAAGCATTCACATATATCTAGACTTATCAGATATTGAAATTCTCATCTAAATAACAATTTCAAGGAAAACCATACGTAGCCAAGCAACCAGTGTTAAACAAAATGTCTTCTACTAGCCAAGCTGAGAGTGGAATCCATGAAGTGCAGTCATTTGTTTTCAATTGGAGAAATTAATAATAGAAATAGAGAGAGCAAAGGACATTTAAAATCAAACATTGTCTAAACCCAACTCTGCCTTTAGAGTAGACCACTCTCCATTTCTCTACCGTATATTTTGAAGACTGCAGGTCAGTATTACAAATAAACCCAATGACCATTAGGTAACCGGTCCACCAAGCAAGCCATAAACAAGGCATTAAATTAGAGTATTTTAATAAAAAAAAACGTTAAAACTTTATAAAATACAGATGCTATTTTGAATAAAATGTATTCTACACCAAAATAACTTATTTAATTGACCAATACTTAAGAGATGCATTTAAACTAAGGTTATATTTTGTAAAAACAATCATGATTGGTTACCTACTATGAACTGGGTAACATGTATATTAGCATATATTTCCCAGCCTTCTTTGCTATAACCTTGTTTGTTTTCTGTGTGGTGATTAAGTGTGCAGGTGCATGTTTCAGTAAACTCACGTGAGCAGGACGTTAGGGGTCTTCCTCCTTCCCTCTCTGCCGCATTGCCTTGAGACAGCATCTGTCGCTGAACCAGACGCTCCGACTGGCTATGCTTCTCAGGCAGCAGCTCTCAAGGTCTGCCTGTCCCTATCCGGCTACGAGCATGCACAGCCAGCCTGGCTTTCTAGGTAAGTTCTGAGTGTTCAAGCTCAAATCTTCATGCTTGCAGAGCAAGCACTCTGACCCACGGAAGCACTTCCCTGGCCTCTGCATTGCAACTTGTATTTCTATTTGTAAGCCCCAATCCCCCTGTGGTACATTTTCACCGTTATTCATGAAAAATCCAAATCACCCAGCTGAGAACCTGCCTTCTCCAGATTCAAATGACCATACTTTCTAATCTCACACTGTAAACAGGCATTTCTCCATAAGCCACATCATGGCCTTCTCCCACTGAGGAGCACTACACCGCACAGTGACATTCACACGCACACGCACACACACATGCACGCACGCAGGAAGGAAAATATAAAGCACTGAGTAGACTGCACAAAAAGACAAGTTTTCACAAGTATGACAACTGACACAGGGAGCAGCGTGCTGGCATTTGCTCTGTTGGCAGTTGCTCCGCGCAGCTTGACTCCCGTGGGTCACAAGAACCAACTGCTCCTTCACTGACTGAACTAAATGCCCCTGGCTGAGAACATCAGTGTATGGACAGTCAGCGCTGAGCTGTCTTACTCTCACAGAAACACTGCATTCGTGATGTTGTGTAACCTATGCTTTTTGGAAAACTCCAATAAATATAACTAGACTGCTGCTTCTTTATAATTCCAAAATCAGCATGCTTTGGATAATTTTAATTGAAGAAACTGATTTTATACAAAGGAAACTCACTGGATGAGCTTAAAAAATAGAGTCAGAGAAACCATTGCCAAGTACCATCCCAGAGAACCATGTCTGCTTCCTTACTTATAGCCAAGCTGCCGGCAGACCACAGCTGCATGTTTGTCCGTCCATCCATCATCGCAAATTGTTCCCCATTGGCCATTGACAAAAACCTCCACACGTCCTTCTTTCTTATTTTCTCCATCCATTAGTCTGACAGGAAAACCTAAGTCATGATTTAAAAATATCAGAAAAGCCAAAAAAAGCTGAGTTAGGCTAAAACATGAAAACCTTACAAAATATAATTTTAAAAATCAAATATAAAATCAACTAGCAATTCTTCTTTTGGAGAAGGAGATGAAATACCATCACAAATGAAATCTGTATTCACTTGTCTTTATGGATGCCCTGCAATCAAAGGGCTCATCTTGCTCAGCTTTCTATCCCTAGCATTTGGAAATGTCTCATATGCAGAGGACAAGAACTTCTCAAATGAATGGATAGATGGACCAATGCCAGATGGATGGATGGCACTCTAAAATCAGGCGCTAGCTGTCTTTATTACAGCTAACTTCTAAATAGAGCGTTAACAGAGTTCTTTTGTCTTAAGCCATTTTGTAACTCACGAATGTAATTACAGGTTAGGATTTCTGGAAGGTTTAAACAGGTTCAAAATTGCCATTCATGGGTAAGTTAGTTGGGTAGGCCACTAGACATGTACTTCCTCCACTAGTATGGAGGAAGTCAGCTGTCGGAAAAATTCTAAAACCTCCTACTTGACTATTTATTTCAAAGGAGGGGCTTAAATCAGAAGATGTATTAATGTTTAAAAATCTAGAAACTCATCTCTAGTAGATTAAGGTTAAAATTGCATAAATGATAGCCTATCACATCTCTATCTGCTGCCATATGTATAGATAGATAGATTATAGATAGATATAGATACAGATACAAATATAACATAGAGATCTTTATGGATAGATGGATGGTGTCAATCAGGGCCTTTACTGAGATTCATTCTGCAGGATAGAAAAGTGTAGCCATGAAGCTGCATCCCAAGTCAATACAAGGTGTCCTCATTGAAAAGAAGATGGAGTTTAAAAAAAAAAAAAAAAGATGATGTGAAAAGACATCAGGAGAAGATCTACCATCTACAAGCCAAGGACATGAACCTGGACAGTCTGTATCTTTTGCAGTCCTTACTTCAGAATTCCTTCTCCAGGAGCCAGCCTCACTGAAACCTTGGTTTTGAATGCCTCACTTCAGGACCGTGAGGTCATAAATACCTGTGTTAACACCACTCCATCTGTGGTCTTCACAGCCACACCTCAGGCTGATACTTACGCCTTTGGTTGCCTAGTTACTGGAAGGATCTTATAGCTTCAGGAGAACTTACTAGTGAAAACTGAATGGTAAAAATGATCAAGACAACCAAGGAGGTGGAACCAAGGAGCTAATGACCAAAATATTACTAAACACATGCTTAAAACAACATATGGGATTATTGAATTGACATTTGTTAACTAACAGAATTGTTGGCAAGATGAACACATTTTATTTTTCTTCATAGTTCCAAAATCCACACTACCAAAAAAATATGGCATCGTTTAAAGCACTCACTGAGATTCACATACTGCAGCACAATGAATTGTGAAGTCATTGGGTGTGTCCTAATTCAGTATAATCTGTGTCCTTACAAAGGCAGAATTTTTTTTTATTTTTATTTATTTGTTTTTTTAGTTCTCCATCCTTCCTTGTTGTGCCCAGAATGATTCAGCCTTTGACTTCAATCCTTGATCAGGAGAGATAATTACATAAACCAACAAATGTTTAAGTAAATTTTCTATGCACTTCTAACTAGTAGCTTTCAAAGTGTGGCAAGTTTTAGCTACGACTTATACAGAACATCTGTAACTTTATATTTCTTATTAGTGTGTCTAAAATGTCAGTGTTCTTCACATGAGAAGGTTTTAAAAAAATAGTGATTCCCCAAAGACAAAATTCAAGTTGATGAAAATTTTTCAGATTCTTAGTTTCCTTTTTTTATACATTTAAAATTTTTTAATATTAAAAAAAATACATCCATGTGGAGTTATCGTCCCATGATCTATATGAATAATTTTAAGAAAAATTTAACATATTTTATTTAATTTATTTTTATGTGTATAGATGTTTGCTTGTATATATGTCTGTGCATGGCTGGTACCTACAGAGGCCAAAAGAGGGACTGGGATCCCATGAGACTGGAGTCACAGGTGTGGCGAGCTGCCATGGGGGTGCTGGGAATTAAACCACAGACCTCTGGAAGAGCAGCCAGTGCTCTTTACCACGGAGCCATATATTTATATACACTTTAAAAAAAAACACAAACCATTTTAATTTTTTAATCTTTGGTGTGTGTGTGTGTGTGTGTGTGTGTGCGTGTAAATGTATAACTCTCACTGGGACCCATGCCCAGGACCATGAGTGTTGAGATAAATGGACAACCTAGGAGAGTTGGTTCTTTCCTTCTATCATGTGAGTTCTGGGGACTAAATTATAAACTGGCTTTTTTGTTGTTGTTTGTTTGTTTTGTTTTGTTATTATGCAACTTAGACGTTTACTGAAAAACAAATCCAGAATTAGAAATGTAATGGTAGTTGAGAACTCAAAGGTTCTTTTTCTTGGGAAACAGACCTTTAGACAGGAAGTCAAGGATGGAAAATGCTTCTCATTCCAGGCCAGTGGCTGGAGTAGCAGAGTGCAGGCGGCACCCCGTTCTTACCTGGAGAAAGCCTGCGTCCATCGCTGTCAGGGTAGCAGGTGAGGCCCACATCTTCCCTGTGGCTGCAGTCATGCCTTCCCCACTGTCTCCTGGCACAATGGAGGAAGCTGGCTTCTTTCCCTGAGCAGCTGACGTCATCCAGCCATATGGGCCTGTTGCTGCCTTCAAAATGGTTTACAGAGGACTGTTTGCCGTATCTGTGGCAAGGAAATGAACACTATTCGCAGAGCTGCCATCCCAGGCATGGAGGGGCCAGTAAAAGAAACAACCCAATTTAGTAACGTGACTTCAGAGGGTAAGAATCTGACCTTTCTCCTGCCTTGAAAACCCGACTGTGCTTGCTTTACTGTGTATTTCAGTCATTTTAGCATCCTTTGTTTAACTTGATGAGTAACTAACCAGTAATTCATTCTTGTGTTTTGTCTACAGTTTAACCCATCAGCCAGAGAGCATGCAAAAAAGATAAACCTCAAATTCCTGGCCATGGAATAATTCTGTGTAGTAGAGAGGGAAGACAATTCTTTGGTTTGGATCTCTGCTCAAACTCTCTGAGTTAGTCTGATCAGCTCCCCTCAGCTCTCTGGAGTTCTTCTCCAAGACAGTGTCATAATAACTCAGTGACTGCTCAAAAATAGGACCCAATCCTACATTAAAATTTTGGTATCAAAGTACAAATAATGGCAGTGTTCTTTTCATAAGGTTATGTAAGTTTAACGCATAAATATTTTTATAAATGACACTGTGTGCCAATTGACTTTATTACATTATATTATATATTACCGTAAATTATAAGCTGTGAAATAGCAAATATCTGTAAAATTTAAAAACTGGCAGTTAGGTAACTCTGCAAGTATTTTCACCCTTCTCTCAATTTTTCTTTCATTCTGTAAGAATCATGCAGATATCACTGAGCTGAAAGATCCTCAAAGTGCTTTCAATTCTCTGAGTCTGAAATTTAACTCTCAGTCAGAATCTTATGCCAACTCTTGCCCTCACTTGATAATTTTAGTGTTTCTTTACTAAGGACATGAAGACTTTTTTTCCATTTTTTCCATTTTGATAGCTCTACTATGCAGTCACTAAATTTATCTAACTAGATGAATTATTTAATAGGATAAAGCAGCAGTTTTTAAGTAGTCATTTTAAGGCTATTTTTCTAACTAATCAAGTTTTAGCACAAAAGCCAATGAACTTAATTGCATATTGCTGTCACTTTCAAATTAAAGCATTCTTCCAGCAAATGCATTAATCTTATTTCTCTCTGTCTAATTCAGCCACAAAATATATAACAGGAAGTTTTGCTAGCTTGGGACTGCATTTATACAAAGAAACCAAGTTTACTCTTTCTCATCCCAAGTGAATCACTGCTTACAGAACGTCCTCTGTAACTTAAATGTGGTGCACGCTCACACTAGCACATGAATGAAAACATTTTAAGTACCTGAAAATCCAGATAATTTACCCAAGAGAGAAAATGGCATGGATCTTTGAAACTAAAGTATATGAAATATACTAAATATATAAAATATTATTATTGAAACTAAATATATAAAATATTAGTGTCACTTGATTATTTTCATTAATGAGGAAAGATGTGAAAATAAACGGCAAAAAGTAGACACAGCTTCACACATCTGTGCTAACTGAGACTACAATTATCAGAGTAACAAACTCACTTAATGCAACTCAGTGCAGACTAAGAAGCTCTTATTAATTAAATGGCCAGATGTATTTGGCTGTTGTTCCCCTTGACCTAATAATTTCAACAACTGCTGTCCCCCCCAAAATTGAAAATGTCAGTAAATTTGTACATTTGTATCTTCATGATTACTATTATTTATGATTAAACTAAAAGTTAACCCTACCCTAGAAAATTAACCTGAGTGTAATTAAATCATGGTATGAAAATTTAATGGGTACCAAATTTGTGACTGTGACATTATAAAAGTAAAGCAGGTATCTATAAAATCACAGATTTAATACAACAGCTGATACAGAATTGCACATGATGTGTGAGAATGGGAAGTTATAGATAATATTTTCTTTCTTTTTCAAACTTTCTTTTTAAAGTATGTATTTAAACATAGCTTTACCCAGCTTGAAAAGCTATATATTTTAAAGTTTAGTGACTATTTGCAATTAACTGTATTTCAAGCTGAAATGATATAATTTCACCAATTTTTAAAGTTATGATATAGAAATATGAAAAACAAGAAAAAAGGGGCATCGGTGGGCTTCATTTGAATGTGTATATCAAGGGCGTCATTTCCAGCTATTCAACCAACTTAAGTCTTTACACTGGAATGCATTATCTATGTACCATGACATATACTGCCCAAAGTGTGGTACTCAGACTGTAAGTGGGCAACGTCAAAGGCCAGCTCTAAAGGTCACCTCATGACAAGCAGGCTCTTCTTTTCCAACAAAAGTATCAATTATCATCATGAAAGAACCATGTGACACCACAACATTCCTCACTGGAATTGCTGAAATGTTAGACACAATGATGTCAAAACTAATAAGACTCGGTAGTAGTGATAGACCATAATAAAAGCAGGCATTCAGAAAGTTTGCCCGAGTACACAAATGAATGGACTAAAACTCACTCCTAGCTTCAAACACTTTTTTCAAGAAAAGAGATATTGGTAGGAAAGGTACATGAAATACATGACAAGAGATGGTTCCTCACTATCTTTAAAATGTCATTTTTAATTGTAATTCCATTTGTAGGTAGATAGATGAGGTACACAGGTAGGTAGGCAGGCACGTAGGTAGATAACATAGGTAGGTAGATAGGTTGCTAGGTAGGTAGGTAGGCACACAGGTACATAGGTAGGTAAGTAGGCGTTACTGATATGACAGACTAATGACAGACTGTAGATGATGATGATGACAGATGACAGGAGATACATAGATAAGGAACTGGTAGGTGATGCATACCTATTTTCAGAAATTAAAGGTAAGGGCTATGCACTGACTCTGACTGTAGAAAAAGCTGTGTTTTGGCTTTCAGTGTCCCCACAACAATGAGCCTTACTTAAATCCCAGCAGTCGGCAAGCCACGAATGTGTTCACCTCAGTCCATCCGTCATCACAGACTGTTCCCCACTGTCCCTTATAGTATACCTCCAAGCGACCTTCATGGCCGCTTTGCCCTCCCGTGAGTCTGATGGCCCCATCTGTGATAAGGAGATAAAAACACAAAGCAAATTAACTTAAAAGGAAGAGAGAGAGAAAGCACGCACCTTTGTTTGATGTATCGCTGTATTTAGACCTTCCTCTCAGCCATATGATGACCCAGCATTTTGACTCTACTCAGTCATGTGAGGTCATTGCCCTCTTCCTGACAGATTAACACATCTGGCTTCCTGATACTTGTACTCTATTCCCCAAGCAGAAAATGCATTCTGATGTAATTTCTAAGTACACATTTTTATTTTTCTATGTTAAATCCTATTTTGGAAATTTCCTATAATTCCACTCCTCTTAAATCTAAGCAACAGTGTTCATTTTCATTGCAATACAAAAAAAAAAGTGACTTAGAAATGGTATTTCAAATTTTTAAGTGCACATAAAAAAATATTGAACTAAGAATTCAGGAAAGGCTATTTGTCAATGGGGTCATTATTTCATGTACACCCACAGGTGATAAAAACACATGTTGGCTTTGGGTTGTTTTTTTCTGATAATACAAATCTGAAATTTGATCGTATTAATGCAATGAGTAATTTATACACAAAGAATTCTACAAAAAGTTTGTAAGCAGACAACACAATAATTTTCATTCCCCAAAAAGGTAGATTTAAAAGCCATTTCCACCCAAAAGAATTCAAACACCTCTCAAAGAAACACAAATAACCAGAGGGTAAAACTTTTCATAGATATCTGGGATCCACTGAAGCAAAAAGTCTCTTGACACAAAACCATCTGGTGACTGAAATTTTATTGTCTGCAAAGCATTGTACCACTATTATTTCATGTGTCCATCACAGCGCTAATGAGAGTACCTCATCTGAGAATGGGTACAGTGGTGACTCAAGGAAATGAACTTTGGTGCATATTAGAAATTTGTATTATGTATAAGTGCATTGTGTTGCTAATAAAAAAAAACAACAGCGTAATTAAAAATTTATCAAATCAGAATTCCATAGGCACTAATCCTTCCACTTTTTACACACACAAATATAAATAAATAAAAAATAATGCAGAGCATCCCCTTCTTATAACCCATGACCTATGTGGACAGACATGCTGCAATGTACATTAGTCTAAAATTTGATTACAAAGCCAGCTCGGTCCCTTTATTGGCAATCATATCCACACAGTTTTACAGCAGCTACAAACACATTCTGGGAAAGAGCGGCTACCAGCTGAATGGATCAAAGATGTAATGTACTGCCACCTGATACCTGGTATGAGCCACGGCACACTGATTCCAAGTGTTACCTACTGCATACTGCGGCGAAACTATAGTTCATGATCTAGCTCTGTTAGCTTCTAAGTAGACGGCTTTAGAATTAACTGAAAATTTTATATTTTGAAAGAAAAAATTGCACTTGATTTTAAGTTTTGCTTAGGAGCATTATCTGTCTGCTTATTTGATAACATCTGAATTGAGAAAGGAAGTTGGGGCGCTACCAGTCTTGAGGGCAGAAGGCAGCACGTTTAGGAAGTGACACCCTTACCTGTCAGAGGGACACAAGACACTCCAGCATCTTCTTTATGGCCACAGTTATGCTCTCCCCAGGAGCTCTTCGAACATTGCTCAATTGACAGCTCATTCCCGGTACAGCGTACCTCATCCAACAATATTGGGCCAGATCCTTCCCCAAAATGTGCCTGATGCCATGCTTTGGCTATGCCACTGAGCAAACATAAAAAAAATATATATGAATTCTGAATTCCACAGTGAAAGGTGTTTCCATCTTATTTCCTCCCCTCTGGCAAAAACATAGCAATTAATCTCACTCCCCAATCCACTCCAGAGGTTATTCATGAGTATCATTACTCTGTGTTTGGCTCATCACTACACAGGTTTAAAAATGCCTGGTATTTCTCAACCTTTAGCCTCCCTTTTGCATTAATAACATCATCACAGTGTTTTACAAAGTACAGTACTGACTACACAAAAGAAACACCACATTTACAAGCCTTCTGCTAGAGGGCTGTTTATAACAGAAAAGAAACGCCGTTTTAACAATGTTTAGGGACATTAAGTCATTCGCCTTGCTGAACAACTCAATACCATCCTCTGCAGAAGTGTTTCATCATCTCAAAATAAAACTTCACTGTTATTACATTTTTAATGGGGCTATTTAGATAGAAACTGCTGTGGGTCGGCAATGTCCTCATTCCACCTCCTTCATACTGTACATGGAGCAAAGGCAACAGCTTGAACGGAAGCCACCCTGGCTCGTTGTGCCCCCTCCATGGTTTTGGAGACAGGGTCTCAAACCATCTACATAGCCCAGTCTAGACTTAGGCTCACAATAATCATTCCGTCTCAGTCTCCGGAGTGCTGGATTGGAAGCATGAGCACCGTGCCCAGCAAAATGCCCCAGGACAGATGCAGAAGTGGAAGCAAGAGAGAATAAGGGTCCTGGCGAGTGTGGACCCACTGGGCTAGACTCCGTGGCTGCCTCTGGTCTCTTCTCTGAGAGCCAATTATGTGTATGTTTAACTTTGTTTAAGCTGTTGCTATTTCCAGTTCCTGTTATTCAGTCTAATCTATTTCTGACAAAAACAGCATCCCACGAGTTTACTTAAAACAAACTTCTCCTACAGCTCAAAGTGTGGCCTAGATTCAGTGAAGATGGCCATCAGCTACTGAAATGATTGGCTTTAGAAACTGCATTTCAGCCCCTTATTGCCTTTGGACTTTAACATTTATAGCTTCACTTCATTGATATTGTACCTATTCCTTCTTCATTATTTTATAACTATTTCAAGAATTACAACAAAACTATTAAAGGAAAAATATTCATTGAATGGGTGCAATAGTCCAATGATGGTAAAGTCTTATGCAGACAACTTGATCATTAAAGATCTGATTTGATTCATTTTATTAGTTATTACAAAGGTTGAAGGGGACTCAAGATCTGACTGAGTCTGCCTACAGTCCAGAGGGTGCCAAAGGGATAGATTGAGGAATGTGTATCAGGAGGGGTATGGAGAGAGTCAAGGAAAAGAAAAGCACATTGAGCTAAAAATATTTTAAAATTCAGAATCCCGACTTGAATCACTCTCCACTCTTAATAATTTGTACCAACAAATAATAAGGAGCAGAATCTATTGAGCAGATGTAAGGAAAAAAACAAACAAACAACAACAACAAAAAAACCCAATGATATCCTAAAGTGAATGGTATTGCCAAAATGAGTTACCTTATGAATGAATTTGCTTTGAATTCTACGTCTGAGATTTGTACAGAAGAAGCCCCAGCTAATCAATGATAGCAAACAATGACCCTTGGACTAAATCCTGAATGGCACCTATTTCCATGCTGTCATTGCACTAAGAGGGATTTTTACGAGTCCCGAAGGGTCAGTGGGAAGATAAAGATTGAGATGATAATGAAATTGGTGTTGTGTAACATTAACCAAATCCAACTTTTCTTTACAAAAGTAAAGTTGTGTTGAAGCCAAACTGTGTTTGTGCCTAAAGGCAGCATTGGTGTCACAATGTAGCTGAGTGGCTACAAAGTCTAAGGTATTTTCTATCTGGTCTGTGGTGGTTTAAATGAGAGATGTGCCCTAACAGCTCTTGTACTTGAACATTTGATCCTCAGTTGGCAGTGCTGTGTGGAAAGGGATGTGTAGAGGAATTTTAATACAGCAACACGGCTGTTCTGATCACATCCAACTACCTCTTAGGTCTGTGTGATGTGTCTGGAATACAGACATGCCCTTAGTGCACACCTTTAATTCCAAACAATGAAGGTAAAGTTAGTTTGTAAAAGGAAGCACCCCTGTTTGAAAGAGGAAGAGGATGCAGGCAGTCCTAGTGAGACTTAATGGGCTGGGGTCAGAAGGTGGAGAGAAGGGTTTCCCCTTTCTGAGGACTAGGGGAAGAGAAGAGGGAGGAAGAGGGAAGGAGGGTGGGACTGGGAAGAGATGAGGGAGGGGCCTACAATTTACATGTAAATTGAATAGATTATTTAAAAAATTTTTTAAAAAGAAAACAGTGTGTAATTGAGGCACAAAGTGGAAAATCTGAGAAAGATTTGATAGAATGAGTCAGAGATAGGATATGTGCAACTTTCACAAGGACAGGAAAGAGAGGAGATTTAAGAGATTTGAGGGAGAGGTAGTTCAGCTGAGTTCAGTCGGGCAGTCAGGAGGCAGTCGGGAGGCACTTCAGTGGAGTTGAGTTCGTGGCAGTTCAGTTTGTGGAGTTCAGAGGCACCTTTTACTGCCACAGTTCAGAGACGGGTTGTAGAGAGAATAAGCCAGACACAGGTGATGACAGAATGAGCCAGAGAATGAGAAGGAGCCAGAAGATTAGAAGAGATTGCTAAAGTTAGTTTGAGGCTAAGCAGAGCAATTCAGTCAGAAGTGAGAGAAGCCAGTTTGAATCAGTCAGCTTGGAAAGGAGTTCGAGACAGAACAGCTGAGTTGAACCAGCCAGCCAGAGTGAAGAAAAAGCTAAAAAGGGTGAGCTTATTCAGTAGTAAACCTCCAAGCCAACAACTACAAAAGGTGAATAAAAGATAGTTTTACAAGTATGGAACCTTTAAGGAGGAAGTACATTACCATGAGGGCTTTAAGGTTTCATAGCCTGACCCCACTTCCTGTTCTTTCTCTCTGCTTCCTGGGTATGTTACACCTGTATTTGGCCAGCTTCTGGCTGGCACAAAGCTTGTGCCTCCATGCTTTCTCTAACTGTTGTCTTGACTTTCCACTATTATGGATTCTATCACTTTGGAACTATCAGTAAAAAATAACCTTCTTTCTCCTTCAGTTGCTTCTCATGGTGATGATTTATCACAGCAACAACAACAACAACAAAATAACTAGAACATGGCCCTTTACCAGAGAAATTATTGTGATTTAGGAGACACAATGATACATAAGAGAATAAATAGAGACTGGGGGACTATGCAGGCCACAGGGAAGCCAGGGTTAGGGAAAGATGAATTACCCACCTCCGTAGAGCTTTACACCAGGAAAAAAAAAAAATGTTAAGGAAAATTTTCAGTCAGTACAATTCACTGACTACAATAAGACTAGAAGGAAACCAAAACCTTAGGGGATAATGTAAAATTTGATCCCAAACTCCTAACAGAAATAAAATTAAATCCAGATGGTTTAAAGATAGAAAACACAAAAAAAAAAAGGAAGAAAAGAGAGGGGTGGAGAGTTGAACAAGTTCGTGTGTTCATGCATGTGTGTGTTTGTATGTGTGTGTCTGTATGTGTGTGTCTATGGGAGAGGGGGCAGAAGTCGAGAATAGTAGAAAGTTACTAAGATAATAATAGGAGTGTTGTTCTTATAACCTTGGATATAAAAGATGAGCAAGACAGGAATCCCAGAAGGCAGTAAACAAAGCCTAGAAAGGTTAAATTTGACTGTTTACAAATTTAAAACTATCAGATAATCAGTCACAGGCAAATGACGTTTTAGAAGAAATATTTGCAACATGTTACAGTGAAACCAACTCCTAGTAATTACTAAGGATAAGGACATTATTAAATTTCATTGAACAAGAAGATAGCCAATTTAAAAAAAATAATAAGGTAGATTAAAGTAGAAAAAGAATTACCTGTGGCCACTGACTACATAAGATGTTCAGTCTTGTGAGTGGTCAAACTTTAAAGGAAAATAAAGCATTCTTACCTGTCACATTTTCCCCAGAGACTTAAAGAGTTAATATCACTTGCATGCAATGCTTTGGCCAAGACTTTCTGTCCCTAAGGAAAGATAACACAACGCCCGGTGTCATCTGTTGACTGGGGGTGCTCCCATACTCCGGAGCAGAATAGCTGAGCTATGTTACATTCCAAATATGGTGGTTGCACCGCACAGGTTCTTGGATAAAAGCACGAGGGCTGTTGCTAGCCTTTGGCCAGCCTCACATACTTAAGGAAGAATCCAGCACAGGGGAGTGGAGTTCCAAACCGTGATTCAGCAGAAGTCACTTATGACAAAGTACTTCTAGAGCACCAATGCATTTTTTTCTGCCTTATATGTTTCCATATTTTCCACTGAAACAATATCACGTTAAACATCTCAAAAAGATTTAATTAAAATAAACGGGTCAGAGAAAACAATAACAAACTCGAGTGGGGGGAACAGTAGTCAGAAAAATATCACACAGCATTAACTTAAGTTTTCTAGTTAATGTTTGCATTATGACATCATATGTGTATGTTTATTCTCATATACATACATACACATACATAGATACAGTCCTTCAGCCAGGATCTCCTATGGACCTGCTGCTGGTTTTCATGGGAAGAACAAAGAAAGGTATGGCTTCTAAAGAGATCAGACAGTACTGAAGAAAGAGAACTCAAACTCATGTGCCAGGGCTTCAAAAAGTTTTCTAAATTCAGCAAGCTCTGCATGCTTTGTCCTTCCCTTATGGAAACAATTTTCACACCAGCCTGCCAGTTTTGTGCAGAAGCCTCAAGTATTCACTCATTTCGTGCCCTGACTACAGAGTAAGCTTATGGGAAATAGTGTTCCCATATAATGCACTGGCTTATTTTGCGTGAACCCACTTTACCTGGGTGACAGCAATGCCCAGGACACACACACTAGTTCATTCTGTGTCTGACCCTCATCCCGCCTGTTCTCTTCACTCATCAAAGTGCATGGACCTGTTATAGAAAAGGCCAAATAAACACCACCATCTGATTAACTC